TTGGAGTCACAAAAGGTACTGGCGGCGCCAGCTTTTTATTATTTATACTAGGGCGACACAACTTAAAATTAAAAGGTGCTGAAAGTACCAAAGTACCCCTGTGGTACTATACATACAGAATAATAACCTTTCAACAGAAATGAAGTTGAATGGAGAGTTTGGAACATATAGAATAGAAGATAAAGAAAAGGATGAGTGAGGAGAGACATCATCAAACTAAGAACAAGAGTAGAACCACCATTAGCAAGAGTAACAGACTAAGAGGGAGAGGAATGAGAAAGGGGAGTAAACACACTTGCTGACCTGGTCATATGATCAGAAACACCAGAACCAATGACCCAGATCAATGAATAAGGGGACTAGGAAGCTAAACAGGCTATACTTGAAGAAGCAAAAGTGATTGTAGTAATCTAATTTTGGGTAGCAAATTGGAGGAATTTGTTTTAGCCTTTACGTGGAATATTGACTATCTCCTTCCCAGTAGCACTTGTTGATGTCGTTGTACTTGACTGTGGAATAGAATTATCCCCACAATCATTATTAACCATCACCTGATTATCCCAACAAGAAGGGGGTGGAGATCATAGCAAAACTACAAAAATTGACTGCATGTCCATCCATCCCACAATAAGTGCACTTCCTTGTTCTCGATCACCACCTCTACCACAACCTCCAATATGTTCACATCCACCAAAAACACCTTGATTATTCTGGTCTCAATCTTGAAAGTAATCATGTTACATCAAACTGCTTCTTTAATTTCTTTTGTATTTTGATATCTGAATTTCAAGGCTGATAGGTATCAAATTCATTTCATATGCCTTTAAGGCTGGCATAGTAATCCTCTACACTCGTATCACACTATTGCAACTCAAAAGTACTCTTTGGAACTATTGATATATGTTATCCTTTCCTGAATACAAACCTCTTAGCATGCTCCCAAACCTCTTTGGATGTATCAAAAAACATAAAATTGGCATTTATCTAGGGTTCCATGGTATTCCACAACCACATTAATATTTGAGCATCTTCTTTCTCCCAATCATCATGCTCACTACCATCCATTGTTGGTTTCTCATTCATCAAATACTTCAATTTCCTTTTTTTGCCTTAAGGAAGACTTCCATTGACTTGGACCAAGGTATATAATTTTCTCCATTTATCTTAATTGTTGACATCTGTAATCCAAATATTTCAAATTGAACCATTGTGTTGGACTTATTTTCACCACTAGGTCCACTACCAGATGCTTCCATGATGATCTTCTAACAGTCAAACAAGGGAACAATAACAAAGTGGGAGAAAATACACATACTACAACAACAATCAATCTAACATTTTTTCTATGCTGTCACCCCACTGTGACAATTAACCAAACACCTTTCAGACAAAATTTTATGGTGTCCTCACCCTACACCACATCCATAAGGTTTCAGTAATATACTGTTCTCTGAACACACCGCAGGCACCACTGTAGCACATCTAGAGTGCACTTCAGCAAACCCCACAGCACATAACCCTCTTGGTAACCAACAATTAGAGGACTTTACACCACTACACACACCACCAACCTGTCACCAATGGTGACACTAAAGAGAAGAAAGACAGGAGGTTGTAAACCAGAAAATCCCTACTAACCTGTCTCCCTTGGTAGAAACAAATCAAAGAATGTAGAGCAAAGCCCAAAGAAGTGATCACAGCCTTGGAGAGCCCTTCCTAGAGCTCTGATACCATGAAATAAGCCTTGGTTCTGTCTAGGTTTAGAGCTCTGACTTAGACGAACAAAAGAAAGAAAGAGAGGAGAAAGAATAGAAGAAGGAAAGAAAAGAGTACTCTCTCCCGGTTGGCTGATCCATTATATAGATATCCCTTAAACATCCAATGACAATACTGAATGTTTGGCGTGTAACTATTTTATGAAAGACTGAATGAAAATTACCATTTCCAATAAAAGACATACAATGACAATACTGCCCCTCACTAAGTGTAGGGACAGCCACTTAAACTAGGACAAACTGTAATAGAATAACAAGTATAAAATAATGTAAATAGATTTATCAAAAAAATATAAAATAATGTGAATAGACTAGAATACCCCTGATGGCCTGAGCATCTCTTCTTAACAAACCATAATATGCAATACTATGACTACGGTAGCTACTAGGCACCTGATATAGGACTGATATAATCCAACGCTAGAATAACAACAAATTTAAAGAAAAACTAAAATGTAAATGATGATCTCAAGGGTTTAAGTCCAAGGTTTGGGTTTGTAGGAGTGGAGCATGTTTAGGGAAGGTGTCTGAGTTTCTGAGAGTTTGTCTAGGGCTATATGGCTGCATGATGTGATTAGGAAGCTAATTCAGTATTAAATTCTAGAGATCTTTTTTTTTCTGCTGAAGTTAAATTATAGAGAGTTAAAAATAAAAAAAAAAATGCTATTTTGAGATTGAATTTGGAAAGGTTCTAAGATGGTTTGGCACAAAGACAGAAAATTGGAAACTTTTGAAAACTAGGGTTTTAGTAGGAATTTTTTAAAACCATTTTAAAGGGATGAGAAGGAACCTAAACTTTTGTAAAGTGTGTGAATGTTGAGAATTGAAGGGAATTGAGAGATGACTCACCTCAGATCAATTTGGTCCTTTAGTTGATGTTGTGTGGTAGCTTTTCATTACTTGTCTCTAGTTTTTTTATGGCTGCAGGCTTTTGGGAATCACTCACCAAAAGTCAAATGAACAAAATAGAATAAGCTCCTAAATTCATTACCCATGTTTTTGCAAGACATATATGGTTTGCCTAGGTTCAGCCAATCTCCCTAAGCTAAGAAAACCCAAAAGTACTATCCTATCACCCATACTCCAACTTAAAAAAAAAAAAAAAGAATTACAAATAAAAAAAAAATCTTATAAACAAAACTGAACTACCACCTCTCTCACTGTTCTCAATGGAAAACCTATGACTCTGGTATTGTTGGAGAGCCAACAACTCTCTAACTCATAATCATTGTTCCCTACTGTATTTTCTTCAATGTTTGTCTTGAAGTGGTTCAGAATGTGTCCTTTCCTTGAGAAATATCAAGTTTTCTAGGAAATAAATATATTATGAAGAATTGGATTTCTGACAATGAACTGAAGCCTACTGAAGTAGATGGGACTTGGGAGCAATAGTTGTGTTAGCGTAGGGGTATTTCTGTCTTTATACCTTGATTGATGTTGCTGATCTGTAATGTTGTGTTGAAACATGTGCTCTTAACTTAAGTAAGGGCACATAGGTCTTTCCAGTCATGTTTTAATAATAATATAAATACTTACTGGCCGACTGGRAGAAGTCATGTTGACTCTTTCAGTTCGAACCAAAATTCTCTCTTCTCTCTTTCTTTATCACTTTTTCTTCTTCTACATAACTGAACTCAGTCAGGCTGAACTCTAAGGCAGACCTGAATTATAACAAGTTGCAAATTACAGACATAATGTTGCACCAGGAAACAACAATAACAACAATATAAGAACAAGCATTGTGTCCCATACAAATACCGATGAATATGATAATCATCTAAACATCCATCAGTGTCTCATCCCTAGTGACGGCATAAATATTTATTTCATGATAGGCATACATTATATATAGTAATTTCTGTTACATATTGTCTACTTAATAACTTAATAAATTGGAACTTAACTAGTGCTCAATGAAGCTCAATGAAGCTCAATGAAGTATTCGTGATATAACTCTGCTATATCATGGGAATTGAAATCTGATGCATGTACAGGGGTTGTTACTAAGCAAGACAAAAATGAAAAATATGGATTTGTGGACATGTCTATAAAAAATTAAACTCTATTAAAATAAGGTTTCAAAGTTTATCTTTGTTACTTGAAGTAGCATTCTATAGGGAAACTGAAAGACTGTTTTGGATCAGATCTGACCTTTTTTTCCTGTTTTACTTCTCTTGTGTCAGAATACAATTTTTGTTTTCCCCTTGCAATGTGATTGCTTTGTCAACCATGATTTCTTCTTCTTTATCTGATGAGCGAAGAGTCTGATCCCTGTTGTTTTACTTTTACTTTTGGTTTTGTCCATCTTGCTAATGAGAGAGAAATCAATATAAAATAGAGGGTTGCAAAAATTAACCAGAAAAGGACATTTTCATAGAAGTTTGCAACGTCCTTGCATACCATTTGGTATTGCCTGTCTTGCACAAAAGAAACAGATGATACTGGGGTTTTGAGCAGAGAAATTACCAAAAAATCTGGGGGGTTCCACTGAGTTTCATGGTTCACGTACAACTTGTCACCCAAGTGTTATTTTTGGTGGGGGAATTTATTTCACATTGTTCCTGCCAACCTACTTACAGTGTCTCACTGCTTTCCCAAGCATCTCACACCTGTAGATTTTTTGCACTGTCTCTTCCACAAAAACTACACTTTCCATGGTAATTAAATGTATCATAACAAGTGTATTTGGGGCAAGGCAATTAATTTCACATTTGTAGATTACTTGTAGTCTCTTGGACACTATAATTTCCATGGTCATAAAAGGTAGAAATTAGAAGTATGTCTGTGAACCAAAGCAGAATCAAAATTTGAAAGGTTTGGTTTTTTTTTTTTGAAGCAGTAAAATATAATGTAATTCTTTAATTCATGTCTAAATTAATTTATTTAGATGTGGAATTGCAAATTTCTCTTGTAACCTCATCAAAATTATGAGGCACTTAAGCAGAAAAGACAATATAATGTAATCAATCATATAAATTTAGACCAATGCAATATTGCAGCAAACCAAAAAATGCAACACAGATAGAAGTTGCTATGGGTTTATGAAACTTTTGCATAAACCCATCCTCTTGCAGGTTTTCCATGTTAAGATCTAACTCCCAACCTTGCCATTATTATGCAAGCATCTACTTTTTGAGCTAGTACAATGGAAATCTCATTTTTATGCATCAATTCAACTTTCTACCTTCGTTGGAAGAACTTTTCTTGTGTTATTTTCTTTTATAGGTTCAGGAAGAGATATAGTTTCTTATTTGAGACAGGATTTCCTGCTGAGACCTGAGAGAAAGGTGATTCTCTATTGTCATGAAATAAGAAGCTTTTTAGAGATTTGTTTTAGAAAAAATTTAAAGTTTCTGCCTATTTTGTTAACTTTTGGGCTTTTTAAGTTTTTATAGGAACTACAGAAGTTGATAAAGAAGTCAAAGGATCCTAAAGTTATTGATGAATTAAATATCAGATTTCTTGGATTCTATGGCAGATGATTCCCTTGGCAGTAGTATGCTGATCCATTTGGAGGGAGAGAAATGGAAGGCCCTTTGAAGTCTTTCATCTCCAGTTGAGAAGATTTGTGGAAAGGTAGAAAGGCTGATAACAGATGAGCTTCAGTCAGCAGTGCTTTCATAGGGTTTACCACCGTATACTTTGGGTTAGTGACACTTAGCCCCCTGAACTTTCATTTGCAACAAAGACCCCCTGAGCTTTTAGATTCTAACATCCCCCCCCCCATTAGCATTGCATCAGTTAACTTCAAAAAAAAAAAAAGATTCGCATTTGACTGTTATGTGCTTGTTAAACATTTCTAAATCCCCAAACTACCCTTAATTTGTTGGACCATTTTGCTCTCCTTTACATGCTTGTGTATGTATGTTTCTTGCTTCTTTCTCATAGTCAAATGAGCAAAGCATAGATCAATTTAATTATCAATGAAGGTGAGATCAACTGGTTTTCCCTACCCATTTTCGCCATTTTGAAATGACATCCTTTCGACCATACGAATCCTAAAAGGGCATTTTAGTAAATTACCATCCTCTGTTAATCCATTTCCGCCACGTAGTAGACCTTTCATAACCACTCTACCTGTTTAGGTCTTATTGTTTTTCGATTGGGCAAACGGAACTAAGCATCAATTTGGTACCACTAGAGCTTAAAACAGAGCTGTCATTTATTCGTGTTCAATTACTTAATAGATTAACAAACAAATTTACTAGGGATTGTGTGCAACAGAGGAGGGGAACATGGCACGAATAAATAGAATAATAGGGATTATCATACTTTGTTTAGGTCTTTAGGTTTAGGGCATTGTGCACATTTGATCTAGATTAAATCCATCTTGACCCGCTACAAATAGGGATTTGTTCCCATCTAAAAACAACTGCTTCAAATATTACAAAAGTGATCTGGTATCCTAACGATTATGCCTATCAATTGATTGGATTTTGACTCGATCTACTCTGAATTCAGGATCCTGACTGCAATCCAATTAGAAATGGCACATTTCTCATCTGTATAACCATTTACAACTCATTTAAAAATAAATATATATAACCATCAACTAGTGAATTATTGATTTTTATTACCATTAAAAATAAATATATATATATGAATAAACATTAATGATTTTTATTACCATTTTTTATTACTGTTTATAAACTGCCATTTTTTAAGACTCATACAGTCTACGAGTCCACATAAATTGACCCTTATATGTCAAACCCGTAAAATTATACGGGTCATTAAATTCAACTTGAAACGTGTATTACTTTAATTTAACCATTCTTCTTCTTATTATTAATTTATTTTAGTATTTAATTTAAATTTTTTGTTATTTAGTAATAATATTAACGAAATTTGTAATTATTTAAATATTTACTTAAAACATTTTTTCCAATCGAGTATAATTATTATATAATAGATTTGTTAATTCATATTTTCCATTTAAGAATAAACAAATGATTTGGCTTAACAACAATTTTAATGACTGTTAATAAATATTATTTCTTATTTAAGGTTTAATTACTATATTTGGTAATTATTATGGGGCATGATTTGTATAAACATTAATGATAACTAATGATTGTTATTTTGTTTTTTATTATTTTCTTAATTAAGTACTTGATGATTGTTATTATTATTAATTATTTCTATAAATAATTGATTGTTATTATTATTTACTTAATTCGGTAATTTTCAGTAAGTAATTATTTTATTTAATCTGAATTATTTCATTTTTTTTAATTATTTATAATAGACATTTAGGGTAGGCTCTTTATTTGATTTAAGAGACTTACGATGTTTTATCTAGACAATGACCCCATACTAAGTAAGGGCAACTATAGTATCATTTAATTTGAAATTTACTATTTAACAATAAAAGATCAATGTCTTGTTGAGCAACCCATCTCCAAAAATGTATCAATAACTTTGAAATCATTAATCTATTTATAAAAATAGTAAATTTAGATGGATGTTTACAACAATATCACCAATACTGCTTAATATTTAGGGACATATGAATGGATAAAAAGCATTTATGATTTCCATTTAAAGAGGCAAAAAAGGAAGAATATCATTCAAAGATATGCTAAGAAAAACAATTCATGCCAAACAACATTTGCAGATGCATCCATCCTCTAAAGTAAGAAATGAAAAATATATGACTACAATCAAATCATCATCATGTATGGCTACAATCAACTGATAATATAATTAGGACTTCGAAGTTCATCCAATAGAGGAAACGTGAAAGAAAGGAGAATAATGGGATCATCCTGAGTATGGAAGTCACCTCCAAGTTAGGTGGCAACGCTTCTTTTGGTTGATCATGGTTATGGATTTTAAGTCTAAGCTCCCCACAATGCATGTAGACTAGCTAGAATTTATCTTTAGGAAAAAGGTAGGGAAACCTGTACATAACCTAATGGTATGTTTGAATTATGGGAATTGGGAGATAGAAATAAAAAATGTAGGTTGAAATTATAATTTTGGGCATGTTGATGTGTCAAATTCAAGTCAATTAGAATACTTATAGATTTTTAGTTCATTCATTTAGTGGCAATTTGAATTTTTTTTTATTCCATGTCTTTATTGAGTAATATAGATTAATAATATATTAATATTTATGAAATCAGTAATAATAATAAGTATATTATTATTACTATTATTTACTAATAGTATATTCTTATTATGTGTGTATTGATTTTAAAATCAGTAATATATTCTTATTATGAAGTAATTAATTTGTTATAATTACGATTTTTAGTTAATTCTTGAAATAATAATTGCTTTTATAATTCTTTTAGTTTAACAATAATGAATAATTGAAAGTTTATAATTTAACTTTCACTAAATGAAAGATGTATTGGAGAATAATAATAGTATTAATTATAATTACTTATAATAATAATAATAATAATGTAAATAATTAACACTAATTATATATTTATAAAAAATTAATATGAATTAATATAAATATAAAATGATTATATCCCAATTAATAATTAACATTATTAAAATACTTATTAATTATCACTAATTAATTACATTCCAAAATAATAATTATCATTACTATAATTAAGGAATTAATTATCAGTAAGTAATTATAATCAGTAATTAATTTTTATCAGAAATCATTATTATTAGTAATAATTAATTATAATTATTGATAATAATAATATAATTATATTAATTAATATAAGTATTAATTATAATTACTGATAATAATAATATAATTAATTATTTCATATAAATGTATGAATTATAATTTCTGATAATAATTCTAMTAYAAATAATTAAYATTMAATATTTATTTTCAAAATAATTAATATGAGTTAATATAAATATAAAATTATTATTTCTGAATTATTAATTACCATTATGAAAATCGTTATTAATTATCATTCCAAATTAATAATGAGAAATATTATCAGTAATTAGTTAATATAAGTAATTAAGTATTAGCAATAATTATTATAATAAATTATTGTCAGTAATTAATTATTATCAGTGAGTTATTATTATTAGTAATTAATAGCTGAAATTAATTAATTAGAAGTCATTAATTATTATTAGTACCCCTATTTTCAAAAAGTTGATTCATCATCATCGTCACCATCAATGACAATGACTTGATAAATACATAATTTGATAAAAATAGGTAAATATCATTAATTTAGTTTTTGATCTTTTGGAAAAACTGAATAAGAGAAAAATAAAATGGTTAGCATTGCAAATGAAAATTTATTTGGATTTTTGCAAAAAACAATTATTGAACATAAAAAACCAATTATTCAAAAATAAGGTCGTCAATGAAAGAGTAATTAAAATTATTCTGTACATAATAATTTTAAGAAGTTAATAATTAATTATTTGTCTGAATTAAAATGAGTAATTTCAACAAATAATTTTAAGTAATTAAATTTTGCTATTAACATTGTTTTAATAATAATCAGTATTATTAATAGATTAATAATATATTAATAATTGTGAAATCAATAATAATAATAAGTATATTATTATTATTATTATTAACTAATAATATATTCTTATTATGTGTGTATTGATTTTGAAATCAGTAATATTAAAGTATTATACTTATTACTACTATTATTATTATTTTATTTTTACTTTTGTTAAGTAATTAATTTGTTATAATTACGATTTTTAGTTAATTCATAAAATAATATTTGCTTTTATAATTCTTTACGTTTAACAATATTGAATAACTGAAAGTTTTATAATTTAACTTTCACTAAATGAAATATTTATTGGAGAATAATAATACTATTAATTATAATTACTTGTAATAATAATAATGTAAATAAGTAACACCAATTATATATTTATAAATTAATTAATATTAAGATAAAATGATTATATCCCAATTAATAATTAACATTATTAAAATACTTATTAATTATCATTAATTAATTAACACTCCGAAGTAATAATTAATTATAATTATTGATAATAATAATATAATTATATACATTAATATAATATTATTAATTATAATTACTTATAATAATATAATTAATTATTTCATATAAATGTATGAATTATAATTTCTAATAATAATTATAGTTAAATATTTATTTTCAAAATAACTAATATGAGCTAATATAAATATAAAATGATTATTTCCGAATTATTAATTACCATTATGAAAATATTTATTAATTATCATTTCGAATTAATAATGAGCAATATTGTCAATTATAAATTATCAGTAATTATTATAAGAAATTACTTTTCCAAATTAATAATGAGCAATATTACCACTAATTAATTATTAACATCAATTAAGTAATAGTAGTAATTATTATAAGAAATTATTTTCAGTAATTAATTATTATCAGTGAGTAATTATTATTAGTAATTAATAGCTAGAATTAATTAATTAGAAGTAGTTAACAGTAATTATTATTAGTAATCAGTAGTTGGAATTAATTAATTAGTTTAGTAGTTAACAATAATTAATAGCACAACTTCCTTTTTTTTTAGGAAATGATTGAAAGTGGGAGCTTCCCACTTCTCACAACTCTGCATGGTGGTGGGCTCTACTCTGCATGTTAGTGGGCTCTTTTCTTGAATTACCACTAATCAGAATTTGACATGTGTCAATTTTGTTTAAATCTTTGAAATGACAGGTGTCTGAATGTAAGTGGGCCACATGTCTGACTGTAGAGGGCTTTGGCCTGAAATCATTCTTTTAATATATATATATATAAGATTAGATGTGTACGTCACGTTAAATAAAACCATAGAATGGAAAAAAAAAGGAGAAATTATAAGGCCATCTATGGAAATAGTGTGCGGTTTTTGGAACTTTGATTTTGAATTCAAATCCAATTCTATGTTGGATTAAAGCAAAATCCCTGCATTTGTACATGCATGCTTCACTCAACTCCGTCCTTATTCTCTATCCAATACAATGTCACGTAGTTCTCATTAATG